CCCCGTAGTCCGACTTTCATAATCTCGATTTCTCCACTATCAAGGGGGTGTGGGAAGTGACCGATAACGAAACGGAAAACCCCAGACGAGATGTTACCCAAAGCCGCCACTTTTGGTGTTGGCACAAACAGCTTGGTTGTGGAGCAATCGAGCTCTGAAAGTCGGTCTAGGGGGGGTGCCATCTCTCCGCACTCTTAGGGTCGCCCTACACGTTTCCTGTCAGCAGGTAGGTCGCGCTCGTTCCCCTCCGCGTTCCCTCCCAAATGAACCGGTGTGAAGGTAGGTCTTCGTTGCTACGCCTTGGGGCGTGCTGTTGCTTCGTCCCTGTCTGCGGCGGTGTAACCGTCATTCCAGAGGAGGAAGCGAGCTTTTGCTCCGTTTTCCTCCGTTGAATATCGGCACATGTTTCCATAGCGGGTTGACCGTGGACTGCTGTGGTCTCCTGTCTCTCTCTCTCTGTCTCTCTCTCTCTTTCTCTCTCTCTCTCTCTCTCTCTCACTCTCTCCCCCTCCCCCTCTGTCCTTCTGTGTGTGCCCCCTATCCCTGGGGCCATTTGACCATACGCGTCAACCGTCACATGGCCGCATCACTCAACGATAACGCCCCCGCTCGCCTTGCTCGCCCGTTCGATACCAACAGCTATGACAACACCTTGTTATGACGTCGTTAGTTACAGGTACAAGAGCGCAGAGAGCTCCCTCCTCGAGTGGCGAGTTTCAAGACCTCCCACGAACCTTTGCACACTCTGACTGGCCCCTGTGTCCTTTCTTCCCTTACTCCTCACGCCGGTAGATGCGATGTAGGAGTAACGTTCTGCTGCTAGGGGATAGTCTAGGAGATCTCAACATGGCCAAGGGCCTTCGCGCGGAGGAGACTCTGACCGTCGGGTTTCTCAACGATAAGGTGGGCCGAATGAATTCCTCGAATGTCGCGCCCGCGAGAGGGGAGTTCGGACCCTCCTGCGTGCCTACCTTTTTTGTTTTCCTGTCATCCTTAGTGTGTTTTTGCTGTTGTTGATGGTAGTGCTGTGTTTGTTGGGTTTCGTTCTGTTAGTTGGTCCCCAATTTCTTCATGCGTGTCTTTTGCTGATCGTTGTATTTTTTCTTCGGTACTCCGCGCTTGATATACATTGTATATGCGTTTCACCGTTGCGGTGATTCCGCAAGGTTGTTGTTGTTGTTGTTGTCTTAACACTAAACACTAAAACCGTGTCGACCTTTCATGATTCGATGAGCAGGCGAATCCAAGGGTAGGAGGAGGCTACGTCCCCCGTGTTGCTTACGCTTCGTTTGCACTACCTTGCCTGTACTTTATAGTTTTTTTCACTCAATCCTCCTCCTCCGTGGCACATCTCGTTTATTTTATCACCGTACAGGTCGAGGAACGGGCGGATGCCTACTTGAAGGCGTACGATGTCGTCATCCTCGGCGATGGGAGTTTTGACTTTGTTCTCGAGCTTTTGGAACAAGTGGCCTCCAAATAGATACTTCTAAACAATTGTTCAGGTGGCGGTTTCACTATTGTTGAGTATTTACGGAAGAAATTTGGTACCGCGGGAATTCAGACGGTTCAGCTGGAGGAGGTAGATAGGTCCTTTCGGGACTCTGGCCAGGAGGCCAGCGCTCGGCGATAGCGGATTTGCTTCCCATCACGTCGAGGTGTCGAGGAAGAGGTGGCCTCCGAATAGACTGCTGTTCCCTTGATTGATGTCTCGTTGTGCTGGCCCGTCGAAGGAAGAGTAGCCTTCGTTCGAAGGTTTCGGGGAAGTTGGGTTAGGATTAAGGTTAGGAATAGGGTCTGCGCCCCCTCCCTGTTTTTCAACAAAATTTTATCGCGCGAAGAAGGCCGTCCCGAAGGACGCGGTTGATTTTGTTTTATTGTGTTGTCTTCGCGTGATATTCTTCGGGTGATGCGCCCGAGTACGAGGAAAAATTGGCGTTTTATGTATCGACAAGATGACAGAGCTGCCTTTTGACTGTCCGGTGGGTCTGATGATGACGCGGAAAGAAGCATCGATTGCTCGATGGTGATGGATTTGAATCCCGACAACAGCAGTATCTCAGGTCATGTACAAGTATCTCATCAAGTCATCATGACAAGAAACACCACCGAAAATATTCTCACAACCAGACCCATATCGCGAATGGTAATACGGTGTGAGGCTTCACGATTTTTTTTTTCAAGTCGGAAAGCCACCGAGGGACTAGACGTTGGTTGGCTGCGACGGATTCACCCGCCCGCACTGCTATTGGACATAATGTACAACCAGCCGTAGTAGTTTGGTTGATGAGGCGCGCTCGATCTACTAACATAGTCTAGTCGGAGGGACTTTCGTTGAGACTGCTGCAACGGCTATTATCCCAGGAACTCTGCACCATGTCACTAGAGGAAAAGAGCTCTTCTTAGTGCAAGAGGAGGAGTACAGTACAACATGTGCCGCCAGCAAATTGATCATGCTGACTACGCTGTTGCTGTGTCCATGCCATTGCCATTGTGCATGACCCCGCTTTTCCGTATTTCGTCCCGCTCAATTTTTGAATCCGTCCAAACACTCCCCGCCCCCGCAAGTTTGAGAGGTTGGCGTACACAAGTACGGGACACGCGAACGCAAGGCATGGCATGCATGGTTGCGCGACCTGATCTGTATTTCTCTCTTGCTCTCGGCTGTTACTAAAACATGCGTTGCGGGTGAAATGAACAGAGACAGAGGTGTAGCTGTTCCAAGGGTCCAGAACATTGGTTGTCTCATGTCGTCGCCCGGATGATGATGACGGGTATCATCTCGTTGCTTCGTGTTGCCGCTGGGCTACGAACATCGTCGAGAGTGTCAAACTACATTAGAGAGTAGAACCGAGGAGTGAGGAACCACGTGCACCTTCCAATACAAGTGCACTTCCGGCGGATGATAGCGGTGCCCAGTTCAGGGTCTCCTCATCATGTTGCGGTGTTGATGCCCGCACACTTACTCAGCACTTCGCATCTGTCCCTCTCCCTCCCGTCCATCAATCTCCAACCACGGTTGACGAAGGTGGGGAAGAAGAAAACGAAGGTGGGGAAGACGAAGAAACCGAAGGTTGTTGTTGTCTTCACATTAAGGTGAGGAAGAAGAAGCGGAGCAAAAAGGTTGAAACCCAACAAGCAGATATTGGTTGAGGTCTACACCCCTTATCCACGCCACAAAGGTTGAACACACCACGAGTATTTGCTTGCTGCTGTACGGACCAGCAGCAGAGATCGGAATCCGCGCGAAAGAGGCGAACGGTAAATCCTCAACGCTTTTTTTCCGGGGCGCCCAAAATATCGAAACCAAGATACTTGCGAATCCTCCCCTCCCCCAAGAAACACGCCTCATCTTGGCCAGACGAAGAAAATGTTGACGACGCCATCTCCCCCAAGAAAGAGCGCCCCGCCGTGGACACTACTCCACCGCTACCTAAGCGACCATCGGAAGTGCAAGGGAAACCACCACCACCATCACCCAGGCAGCAACCACCGCCGCCGAAGCCCGTTCAGGAAAAGCCGAAGTAACCAGCGCCTAGGGAGAGCAAGAGTTACTGCACCATGGGGGGTTACGAAGGGCAGAACAAGCGCGCGCTCATCTGGTGAGAAGGGGCGTGTGTTTCGCGCCGTATTCATTTTCCGACGCTTGTCGCCCTGGAAGGGACCATGGCGTGTGCTCCGGCCCATGCTGCTGCCGTTGACGGCTGTGCATGCGTGCGGCAACGTTGTGTGCGATAGCGTTCCTTGCACCAACCCTCTCTCGTCCCTCTCTCGCACTTGCCGTTTGTCAAAACCTCTTGGCTCTGTTGCGACAGGGCTGCTTTGTACTTCTTGGCATGGATTCTGCAAAGATTGTGGTGGTGAGTGCTCAGCCTGCTGCGTGCTTGGGCGCCATCCACCACTTGGGTCCTGCTCGTAGCAAGGTAGTAGGCCCCGTAACTAGTCCTAGTATGCTCTACCCTTTTTCGCCCGAGGCGAGCGCTGATGCCGGACGCAGATTTTGCTGGTCGCGCAATTTTTTTCCTGTTGTGACAAAATTGGTCAACGGCCAAAAAATGTCCTGAACGCTTGCGCCTGACACCTGGTGCCGCTGCATCTGCGTGTCCATCTCCTACAGCCACCTGGGCCTGCCCGACCACTGCGACCTCGCGATGCGGCCATTGGACGTGCTGACGGATTTGGTGGTGCTCTTCACCTTCTCCCTCGCACAGGTAGGGATGGAGGTCCATCTGCGTGGTAGAGTACAGATGTAGTGGTTGGCAGGATCACCTCCTGACAGCATGCATATCGATCCGTGCACATTCTGTCTTGGGAGCAACCGTGGAACACACACGCACGCACCCTTGTCGCGCAACGGTCAGCGATTTTTGGGATGGATAGCTGTACTGCTGTTGTTCATTTACCCTCGGTCTTCCGCGTCATGACAAGAGAAACCTTTTTGGCAGTAGCATCGGTGTTCCATCGGCACAAGGGAACAATATTAAAGTCTAGGCAAAACAGACCGCAGTTCCCGCCCTGTTCCTGTTCCTGCGACTCATTGTGCTCGCCAAAAATGCGCAGCAGCGGCATCATCATCATCATCTGCAGCTAGAAGCTGCCATTGTTCAATGGTGGCTTGGCACCTGGCAATGCCGCTTTCTCCGGCCTTCCTTTCATGCATTCGTCGAATGGCCGTTCGTGATTCCGACATCCGTGCTTCGCACTATTAGACTAGGTGGAAAAAGCGGGATTTCTTTCGTCGCGCTCTCTATCATCCAGAATGTGGGAAGGGTTGAACGGCTGTCCCATGCATGTTGAGAAGCTGAAGTGGACGTAGCATATGATAGGGTCACATCCGAAAACATGCCCATGCTAGCAGATGCCCACGCTGGCAGGCGGCTAATGTGTAGTGCATTTCCTCGTGCCCCAAGCGGTAATCTCGTGCGTCAGTAGTGCCAAGCCGAGACAATACATGACGTGCAAATCAGCAAATATGTTATTCCGTCGTCCTTGAGGGTACGTATCGCTGCCTACTTGGTCGCGGTCGACATTTTTTGTTCGAAAATATACGCAATCTCACAGGAAGACTGCCCGTTCGAATTAAACCCTGCTCCATCTACACGCGCATCATACCCACTGCTGTTTTCCCATGCTCCTCGCTCGCATTTTATTTTTATGGTGGTCCTGCTGATGCAGGCATACTGGTGTGAGATCTTGCTAGACGACCGTTTCGAGGAGCTCAAGAAGGCTCCTTGGATTTTCGGCGTCATTCTCCTCACGTGAGTGCCTCCACACACACCATGATATGTGCACCCTTTGTTGCTGTGTGTTGTGTGTGTGTGTGTGCGTGTGCTTTGTCTTCACTTCAAATCAGCGCTCACAGCACTATTATAGTGCTGTTTTCTCCAACCCGTGGACACACAGAAGAGCCCCTCTTTACCCTCCCCTCCTGCGGTACTTTGCCTCCGATTATTAGTGCGAAAAGAGCACATCACTCTCTTCCCTCTACGTACACACGACCTAGCGCCATCCACTAGGCCAGGAGCGGAAGCGAGTGAAAAACTCTCCGAAAGCTCGCTTACGCCGGGGTTCGAACCCCTGACCTGACCTCTGAAAGGTTTCGAGGTTACCAAGTAGACCACTGGGGCGACCGGTGTGTTAAGTCATCTCGGAACAGCATTGTTATCGCACAGCAAGTTTCCACTTTTTATTTCAGCCTCCTGTTTTCGAGTTAGGGCTAGCGTCAACAAACACTACGAAAAATACGTGCACTCTTCCTTCATGTTGGGTGGTTTCGAACTACAGATGTATGCTTTCCTCTATACGACTTGGGGCTCAACACACACCGTACAAGTGCACGCTTCAATCATGTTGTCGATGCCCATAGCACGGTTAATCTTTTTGATTTGAGAGTTTTTCGGGATTGACGCGAGGTACGAGGGATGTTGGTATGTACCTACACCGACTACAGTAGTCCTACCGGCGACCCCTCGAGCTTCTAATAAATAGTACTAGCAGTAGTCCAGTTTGTAGATGTGCCGTCCCAGAAATACCACAGTAGTCGAAGCTACGGGTGTACAGGTGTCAACGCGAGGAGGGAATGGGTTGCCACAAGCCAAGGGTCGGACTTGCTGTATATGATTGGTCTGTTGGCCTTCATGAACAACCATAAAACAAGGAAGTCACCGTACACATTTGTGGTGTCTGTTGCGACCCTAAAAAGGCGAGACGGAAACACACACAAAAGCACAACAAACCGCGAGGGGCTTCCGCTCGACGTCGTGTTCCTTGGCACTTTGCGGTGTTCCTTGGCACCATGCGGTGACTTTCTCTCCCCATCTCATGCTCCTCTCCGTCACTACTCTGACCTGCCACGCTTCTAAACCTCGTGATGCTCATAACAACGCAGGCCAATTATCATCTCGGCCCTTGGGCGTATCGATGGACTCGAGAGGTGGGACAAGGACAACGAGGGCCGAGACTTCGAGTTCTCCGCCCTCCGATCGACCATCTTCGTCTTCGGCCTTATTGCCGCCGTGCTCATTGTAGCGTGGCACTTCGCACGGGCGTGGCTGGTGAGAGAAACACACCGATATTTTTTGCCGGACAAGCGGACATGTGTTGTACCCCAGCAACAATCGCATCGAAGCTTGCACGATATGTCAACCCGACCGACTCGTTACGTCTAAGCGCCCAACGTTTCCCCTCGCTTCCTCCCCCGTGGTTCTTGTTTACTTATTTTTTTCGGAAGACTCTTCCCGGCATGCAGCTGGTGTCGGGAGGCGTTAAGGTCGAGCCGCCTAAGGAAGACCTTCACGGCATCTACGCCTCCAGCCGCATCGTCATCATCGCGTGGTGCATCCTCTTCACTTCGTTCATCATCTCCGAGGACGACGGCTTCGATTACAGAGGCGCGCTACTCGCATGGGTGCGTACATGTGGCGGGAACTTTTGCTTTTCGGTTGGGTACAATCTTGTTGGTTAGATCATGCGTGTGGCTCGGTATCGAGTTGGGTATGTTGGTGAGGCTTCGTATGTAGTACCTTGTTCAAGGTGCATTGCTGTAGAACCTCGTGTTGGGCTGGCGAAAAAAGGAGGCTCTCTCTTTGTTCTGGTGTACCTTCTATTTCCAATTAAGTACTAGTGGATGGCGGGCGATGTACAGGAGAAGGTTGTTCTAGTAGCAGCAGCAGTGTTGATTGGTGGACAGTGACCCACCCCCACGCTCTTACAAGCTCGAACCCCTCCTCCCTTTTCCCCGCCGCGCCGTGCGATCCGCAGATGCTGTCCCTGATTGCGGTATTCCCGCACCCCGTGAGTTACGCCTGGCTCGGTGTCAACACGGGTATCTTCTTGCAAGGGATCGGTGCCAACCGTCTCCGGTTCCTGGGGTGCAAGGAATGGTGAACGCGTGATAATCGTCTTACGACTGTTGTTCTTTTGTGTGCGGGGGAGACAAAGAAGTGCATCGCGGAGCGGACTTAGTCGCCCGCGATGTCGTCTGAGGCTTCGCGATATCAGTGGCGTACTGTGAAATTTTCTGCTGGCTAGTGTGAGCTAGGGTCATGATGATGGTGTGGGGAAGGTTACGCTTGCGCAGCTGCTACACTTTTCGTTTGGTCGAGAGTTTTTGGCTGAGGGATCATGGGGCCCATAACAGGTTGGCGTTACACCGATACCCGCTCACACGACGAATTGTGTGAACTGACAGTTTCGTTGTGAGTCGGTAGGGTTTCGGCGGTTTGTTTGGGCGCTACCTTGTTGGATTATTCCAACTGTTCGGTGCCACATATTTTCTTTGATTTCGGTTCTTCGTTGAGGTACCCACTCCGAATCTTCACCGATATGGTCGGGTCCGATTTATTCATGATTTTCGCTTGATTGTCGTTTTTGTGTCTGTATTCGATTTGACAGTGAACGGGCAGGCAGCGTGCGCTTCGTTGGACTTGGGTTGAGGGAGGTTGGGCCTCTGCGTTGTTTGTTCGTGAGAAAGCACCAAGCATCCATGAACGAATCATGCCGTAGGGGCGTTGGCGGGTTTTACTGATACCACGCCACACATCATCGTGAGTGTGAGCCGATGGTCCGCTCCTCACGATGAGAAACGCCTCCCAGGAAAAGAATAATATCTCACGCGTCGTAGCTACAATCAGTCCGAATTTCAGACCGCCGAGAGCGTCTCGGAGTTTATATGTTGATTTTGGCGGGGAGGATATTACAAAGAGGATCTGAGAGTACAGCAGTACCAACGTTGGTTGCGCGGGCTTGGGGGTGGGGTGAATGAAGTGAAAGTGTCTTGTTTCTGGGAACAATAATAGTAGTGTTGTGGTGTCTGTCCCAGAATTCAAGGAAGTTGAAGCGTGGTAAGATGTTAATTTGACTTCTTGGTGCTTGTATTTATAATTTCGTTCCGGGGAGGACCAGACGGGTTCTCTGCTCAATCAAGGTGCTGCCATTTATTTGCAGGCGCGAAGACGTGACCGACAGCTAGCTGTAGATGTCACGGCCTCTTTCGACATCTTTCTCCGGTGTGATCAGTGTAGTCTGGCGTGTGGTACCATAGAACAACGGTTACGCTAGTACGCACGCGGTGGCGACGCAGCATGGCACGGTATGCGGATGTGGCGGTTAGATGACCTGACTCTGGCGATTCGAGCCATCCTTTTGAAAAGGATGGCCATTTTATTACACGTGCATGCAAGTTAATCTACTTGCATCGTTGCGTTCCCTGTCGGTGCCGCCTTCTTTCGTGCTGTTTTTCCGCTTTTGTTTCTTGAGAGGGAAATTCTTTCTTATCTGAAGGAGGTTGTAGGGGTCTTATCATGGATGTGGCGTTGCATCAAGGTGCTGCCATTTATTTGTAGGCGCGAAGACGTGACCGACAGCTAGCTGTAGATGTCACGGCCTCTTTCGACATCTTTCTCCGGTGTGATCAGTGTAGTCTGGCGTGTGGTACCATAGAACAACGGTTACGCTAGTACGCACGCGGTGGCGACGCAGCATGGCACGGTATGCGGATGTGGCGGTTAGATGACCTGACTCTGGCGATTCGAGCCATCCTTTTGAAAAGGATGGCCATTTTATTACACGTGCATGCAAGTTAATCTACTTGCATCGTTGCGTTCCCTGTCGGTGCCGCCTTCTTTCGTGCTGTTTTTCCGCTTTTGTTTCTTGAGAGGGAAATTCTTTGGAGGTTGTAGGGGTCTTATCATGGATGTTCGGCGTTGCGGCTCTTGTGTTTATCCAAACGCTGTGATGATTTGTCGGAATGTCTTGGTATTTCTTGGTCCACTCCCTCCTCCTGCCCTGTGATATTGGGCATTTTTTTGTTTTCCGTTTTTCAGTCCTCCCGCTTTTCATCTAGTACAACAGTACAATACCATGCTCTACCGAAATGACGACTCTTTAATGTTGGCGTTGTTTTGGGCCTGCTTGGTGTTGTTTTTGTTGAACTGCGCGCATTCTTGTATACTGGGACTTTTGTTTTAAGTATTTCGAATTATTATACATGTATTGCTTGTTTTGAACGTCTTCTAGCGCCCGTTAAGACGTGCGGGTGGCGCGTTGGAGGACGGACGTGTTTGTGATGCTTTTTGTGTGGTGGTTTTTCACGCGAGTTCGGGGGACAGCTTCAGCAGCAGTACATTGTTAGGTATTTTTTGCCCCCCCCCTGATGATTCTCTCTCTCTTGCCTGTGAGGGCCATATGGCCCATCTTGCGTGTGGTTTTCTGTTTTATTTAGAAAGAAAAGTCAGGGCTGGCTCTACCCATCCATGCATCAGGGCTAGCTTTACGCATACAATACTAATATTGATGGTTACATTCACGATAGTAAGTGATTGACAAGTGAGAATTGTCTGCGACAGACGACATGGAGGGTATGATGTTGATGGCTCGATATGGACTGAGATTTTCACACATTGTCGTCATGTACCCGTATCCTTCGTTCAAGCCTTTTTGGTCATGCAACCCGAGCAAGAAGTAAAATAAATACGAACGAAGGTACCCCGACCGGCTGAGGTCGAATCCTCGTTTATCCTCTCTCTGTGCGTGAATGAGTGATTGGGTAGCTTCCGCAGTCAATTTTTTTGGGATAATACCCCCCCCAGAACATTTAATTAAAGCCAATATATTAATTATTAAAGCCAATTCACTTCGTGAGCTCGGCAACCAGGTTACCGTTTTTTTTTTACCTCCGTTTTTTTTTTTTGGCGGTAACCATACTACTGGTGGTCGAGTAGATCATGTTGTGCGGGGTGGAGAACCCTCACTCCGCGCAAGGGGGATGATCGCACCACGTTGTGTTAAAATGGTCAAGCACCCTCGAGGCAGTTACACAGTGCTTACAACTGTCTCTGGAAGTGAAAGCACCAGAAAATAAATTAATTCATACGCAGCTGTCATCCGTACGCAAGGAAGTAAGCACAAGATGCCGAACACCCTTAGCAGGATGCAGCGCACCCTTCATGCGACTCGCCGAATATCTCACGGCGCTTCGCGCTTGGTGATGTGAGAGCCTGGTCCGGTGAGAACCCGGCGTGCTCCGTCCCGGCTTTGTAGGGATGCGAGGTCAATGGTCTAACGACTACGGCATGCACGACTATGAGTACACCCCCCCCTCCCCCCCCCAGAACAATTAGTGCATGCACTATTTTTTAAAGTACACAAGTATTTGGAAATTTCCGCGTGCGCCGCCTGACTGCCGAAGGGACCGGCGCGAAAGGGGGACCTCAATAAATTTCTGATGTACACGGGTTTCGAACACGCCCACCGGCACAAAATAATTTTGCACTGTTTCCTCAATTCCTCAATTCACCGCGCACCCACGTCATCAGGAGTTCCCTACTTCAAACATGCTCTTTTGGCCCCAACGTTTTTTCCCGCTCATTTGGTGCTTATGTTGTCGGGGTGTGTCGGGGTCTGTTGGAAGCGATTCGGGTTGTCTTTCACAATCGGGACGTTCATCTCTCTTCATCGACGCCAATGTGAGACGAGAGGGAATCTACCTCCTCCACATTCATTCATTCCCCCCTTTACTTCGAGTGTTCTTCTTATTGTGAGGACGTGGAACAATCGGGCGGCGTTGTTAGTGTGTAACGGAAGCGAACGGCCGCATGCCTAACGCACGCCACGCATAACTTGGCCTACTTATTGTACCATGATTGTCAAACACTGAATTCCGTGTGAGGCACACCTGTGTTGAAACGGCAATTCGATATCGGAAGACGCTATTTTTTTATCTGTCGGCCGTCTGTCTGTCAGCCGTCAAGCACGCGCAGACCAAGCAGCCCCCAACTACACAAGAAGGAAAACAACCAACTCGCGTAACATGAAAGCAAGTGCAGAGGGGCCGACCAGCTGTTGTATGAATGAAAATTCTGTCACCATCATAGGGCGTCAAAATGACGGGACACACCTTGCATGTCCACACGTGCGTGAATAATAATGTGTTCATTCGCCACCACCGCAACCAACGGCTCGAAACACCACCGCAACCGTTGATACTATTGTGCGCCGGGACGAGACCGGCACAGAACCCACAGCAAAAGAAGGCCATCATCCTTTGCCCGCCCCCGCCCCTCCCGCACAAAATAATAAGTCAACTTCTACGAAAAGCGGCAACACGAGGAACACCCCCCCCCCCCCCCCCCCCCCCCCCCCCCCCCCCCCCCCCCCNCCCGCCGATCCCAATCCCCGAGCCCCCCCGCACACACATCGGAATGGCGTCAAGGCTGGTCCGCACTATTCCGCTGCGTCAGTCCGTTCGTTCGACGAAGATTGATTCTGTCCACAGAAAACAAATGACGTGGTCACTACTATCAGTCGAAAAGCGAACGCCTTTCGTTCTCTGCACCGCGTCAGTGTAATGGAAGTATTATGTACGAAGAAAGAATTTGACACAAAAACACCAACCAACAACCACCACACGAATAAACCACGCACCAGCGAAGTCCACAACACCAACGATACAGCATCACACAAGCAAATCATCACATGTTGTCCCTCTCGCCCAAACCCCGTTCCCACCAACTCCCCCCCCCGCCACAAAAACAGAATTGCGGCTGGTCTCGGCACACCACGACATGGAGAGCACACCCATCGAAATCAATCAATCAATCTTAACACACAAAAGGGGCGTACTACTCTTGTCGTGTACCCTTGTTGGTATATTGACATGCATGTCTATTAGTAGGTGCGCCGCAGCATCCATCCCCCTGCAATGTTTTGGTGTCTGTTCACGTTCGTCCTTCTCCAAGCAGCACGCAGACGATCGATCTGGCCATGTTTTTTTCTTGCAACACCCCCCCGCGTCAGCCAAAAAAAGGTGCCGAACAACCAACAGCCACCATGTAGACTATGCACAGAGACAGAAAAAGTGCGCGCGGTACGAACACATACGACGAGCAATGATAATCCCACGGGCTACCACCTAGTTCGTCGGACTAAATTAAATTGCACCGGGCGGCGTAACCTTGGCTTGAAGCAAACAAAGGTAGCCCTACAGCCCTCCGTCCCACTCGCCCCGAGATACAACGAGCATCGAGAAAACATGATCCTGCGACCCCCCCCGAGCAAACAGATCCTGCGCCGCCCCCCGCCCCCCGAATCTCGATAGAGCAAAGAAACCCCACCCGCAAGGGACAATCCGTCGGTATTCTCTACAAGCCGATCGGGCTTTCATCTTCGGGACATCCAGGGTATCTCTAAAGGCCGATCGGGCATCCATGTTCGGGACATCTATATCATCGTCGGGGGTATGGCGTAAAGGGGTTCAGCGCGCGTGTCCCCCCCACCCCCTCGCCGCGTTGCCACGTTCCCCGCCGGTGTTCATCGCAATCTCTCTCAAGCGCAACATGATAAAACGACACGGCGTCGTCGTGCGATACATGTCCACTTTCTTCCCCAATTGGCCAAGCACGTGCAACATCACGGATGGACATCGAGCGACGCACGCAGATCCAACCCCCCAGCCTGATCGTTGTCGGTCATCGGCGGTTGCCACCTTCTCCCGTCGCAACACTCCCAGGCAGGTACAACAGAGTTGATCGAGATCTCGTTTGATACAACAGCAGCCGCTTCAAATGAATGACGTCATTGTACCCGCTCGTCGCACAAGAAAGCGATCCCGTACGCCTGTTGGTTGGGCAGGAGGGTTTCAGTTCAGGCAAGAGGCAGATAGGATCAGGGCACGAACATTAGACAAATATATTTAGTATAGCCCGAGGTGGGCTGGCTGGCGCGCAAGGCATCATCATCGACGAAGATCGAGACAAACACAAAGCACCACAAGCAGGACATGGCTTTGTGCCCAAGGCATCCATCGAGAGAAGAGAAAACCGCAATGGGGGCTATCCCAGCGGGGGCCATCCCCGCACACACACTTTCCAGGAAGCGACTCGCCCAAGCGCAGCTAGGTAGTATTCGCAACAACACATTCTGGGAACACAAGGGACGACCACACATGTCAGCAAAAAACAAAGCAAAACAAACGCCACATTTCTCGACGTAAGAATCTTACCCCGATGCCCTGCAAAAACACGCCCGTCGTGACCGCCAGCCAGAAAACGCTGACGAACGACTTGAACTGCGCGAAGAGGGAGAGCACCCAGGCGAGCAGGTAGAGCTGGTAGCCCCAGCCGTCGTCCCTCGCCACCGAGAATGCCGCGTACAGGATGAAGTACGCCAGGATCAGCATCCGCGAGGCCACGTATATCGACAGGAGGTCCTCCCGCACCTTTTTTTTGGTTGGAACGAAAACAAAAATCCGCGCGCATGTATTGGGTGTCGGTCCTTCGGCGGTGGTGTGATAGTCTCAACTCTCTTGTTTTTTCAGTTTATGGGACAAGTTTTCCTCAAGGCAAGGGAGTCCCTCCAGTCTTCCGCGATCATTTTGTTACTCCTGTGACAAATTCAGTACGGAAGAAACGCGGCTTCTCGGGGGAAAATCTACCTTTTCATTTATTGTGTGTGTCAAAACAAACGATGCAGTAGGTGCCGAAAATATATACTTGATGCCCTTTCCTTTTGACCCCCCCCCCCCC